CCTCCCCCACCCCCCACCCCCCTCCGCACCTCCAGAAAGATTCAGTGTATGGCAGAACATTCACGTTTGGCCCATGGACGTGGTCGAAGCGGGCAGTAGTAGCCACCACCGCATTCCATTTCACATACAATCGTGGCTGGACGACGTTGAGAATTTCGATACCGCTGAAGTTGGGTAAAGATCGATTTTATTGAATTGCATCGTCGATTTCAACTTTATATGAGAAACTCCGCTGGTAGTCTATTGGTATACACATACCACTCCGACTCCTGTGTATTTGCTCGGGTGTTCTTTGACGTTTTCTTCGCTTTTCACTTTTCTTCTTTTTATTTTATTTTTTTCTTACTCTCTCCCTCTCTGGGGTTGAGTTTATTCGGTTCTTCTGCGTTTTGCCGGATGCACGTGGCATCATCCATCCCCTGGGGATTCCACTTGATTACATCTCGACCATTTCATTGAGTCCCGGGCTCTTTGATGGCGAAGTAAAACCATTACGCGAGAGTTCAAGGGGAGGCTGGCATCATTTTTATTATTATTCGATTCTTTCGAAGGGATTTATGGCATTTTTTCATGTTTTTAGGGTTTAAAAAATTTATGTTTAATGAAGAAGGGTCTGCAGAATTTTTTTTTAATCGCAGGAACAGAAGAGGGGGATCAAAATTACCTGGAAAATCGTGGGGACGAGTGGAAGGGAAATTTGACGATACGCCTTCGGTAAAAAATGATTCTAATGATTTTTCAGCAATTATTTACGTAAATTCAGTAAAATTGCAGAATTTTAAACTGCGTAAAAACGAGAATTCCTTAATTTATTTGAATTTCCAATCTAATGTGAATATTCAGAGCCAAATTACGTAGAATTTCCAGTGAAATCTGAAATTTCATGATTTTTTCTCTTAAAGCGCATTCAGTGTCACTGTTCTGAAAATTCCAGAATATATTTACCGACATTTTCTAGTTTTCTGTTTATTTTCATGGAAAAAATGAAACTGAATCTGACAGTTCTCTTTGATTTTTCCACGAAATTCTGAATTCTCAATGACGAAATTCCTGGAAATTTCAGTAGTAATTAGACTTGACAAAATTTTTTAACAGTGTAGAGTAAAAAAGTACTGAAAATCGCATTCGCTGCACGACTGCTTGACTCCAGTAATTTTACGATCACTCGAAACTGAAAAATCCATGAAATAATGTCCATAAAATAAAAAACAATCGCCTCCATCTCACAGAGTGGAAACCCCAACAGCAGAACCGAATAGATTGACAAATTAAATTAACCAGATGTAATTAAAAACCCCCATATATCATTCAAAGGATTAATTTATCCTCAGAATGGTGGACTTTTCGTTGGAGGATAGGGGTGGGTACATTGGAATTGCAACTGGAATGATAACCCGAGTGGGTTGTGGTCGGGCGTTGTACAGTGTTGAGACGTGGTACCACCACCACCAGGGGATGGGAAATTCACTGTCGTCGATGGGGAACGGCTTGGAGATGCACGGAGTGAACAACAACTCAACTGCACCAAGTGCCAACCTACACTCGACTGATACCGGTAACCGACTCGAGGTTCTCGTCTGCAATTACGGACCTATCGATCGTACAACACCGGGGAATCTCTACGAGGATGGAATGCCCAGTAGTTGTCCCATGGGATTTCAGACAAGTCCGAGATATGAACATTTGTGCTGTGAGTTTTGCACTATATAATATATATATATATAAACAATATATTTTATATATTTTTTACATAAAAATATATACAAAAAATATATAAAATATATTGTTATGTATTTTTATGTAAAAAATATATAAAATAGGGGAGGTTGAGGTACAACGGACACTTTTGACGTTTTTTAAAATCTTAATGAGGGGTTGAAGTGTTGATAAAATTCAATAATTTTTGTTTCAATACAAAGAAGAATTCTTTCCCGTTGTGGTGAGCCTAAACTGAGCTCAATTGATAAATTTGTTTCTGAGTTATGAATAATTTTGAAAAAGTCCAAAGTGTCCATTTTACCCCGCCCTCCCCTATATTGTTTATATAAAATAATTTTACAGTGTATAATTTTTTTATATGATCAATAAATACATAAAAGATATTGTTTATATATATTTTTTAAATATATTCCGCAATTACGGAATTGCGGAAAAGGTACGTAATTTTTATTGACTATTTCTCTCCGTGCAAATAATAAAAAATTATAATTATAATAATAAAAATTTGACTATTTAAATTGACCATAACTTCAACAATTGAAATTTCAAAGTGACATTGACTAATCGACTACTTAATAATTTAACAGTAATTATAATTTATGGCTATTTCTATCTCTGATTTGCAGCCACAAATTTTCCACCAACTTCTCAATTAGAATCAAAACTACAGCCGCGATTACCCTTGCACCGCCTCGATTTATCATTAACAATAGACCGAATGAGAAAAGATGACAGAGTTCAATAAAGAAAAATTAAAAAGTTGAACCATCCACTCGGTCGTACACTCCATCGTAAATAGTAGTAGAAACTTCCCTTCGTTCCAACGCTCCTGGATAAATAGAAAACTTTGAACGCGTAATTCAGCGTCTCGGTCTAATCCCCTGCCCCTGCCCTATGCAATTAGAACTTACGTACTGTTTGCCTTTGCTTGTATCACTCTATAACAAGTCAATTTGTTTCATTAAGGGCTCCTTAATCCTGCAGGATTTTTCATTTTTTTTCTCGTGATCAACAATTAGGCAACTTAAACATGTTTTGATGTATAAAGATAAACTTCACACACGAAAAAATGAAAAATATGACGCAGAAAAAAATTTTGGCGTTTGAAGAATTTGAAAATCCCAGGGATTTTTCTCAGCGACTACTTCACGTGACTCAGTGACCAATCGAGATATTTCGATATAAAACAACTTCACATTTCTTCATCTTCAGTAAATAGGATTTTTCCGCGTTACACTCGACCCAACTGGAGCTTATTCATACAACTTCAAAGTGTCTGTTCGACATTTCATAAAGAAATTGATGAAATTACCCAGTCCCTCTCGGAGCGCCTCAGGACCCCCTTCAAACCCGCGCACTCCAACGAAAATAATGCCCATCTCTCACCGCACTCTCGTTCCTTCTAAAAAACTCACCTTTTTCTTTCTATTATTTCCAGCTGCGACAGACGAACAAGATGACGAACACTGGGAACCGAGTGTACGTAGCGCCAGCATGGGCCAGCATTATGCGGCATCTCTACTTTTATTTGCACTTCACAGATCACTCGTGGATCTATTGTCTGAGCGATAAAAATTTCACTGAAGATGGAAAACTCTTTTGGAATGCAACTGCTACCCGTGAAATTCACTTCGATCCGCTTTACTCGAGTTTTTCCTCTTTTCAAGTGAAGAAAATAAAGGAAAAATTGTTGAAAAAAATATATATTCCCACGATAATTAGTTGCTTGCTTTTGTACTTGAGCGGCTTTGATGGGCATAAACTCGCCTTGGAAACTCGTCAATTTCATCTTTTTACATTTAGGGGAGATGAAAACGTGGGGCTGTGAAAAGTTGATTCTCGTTTAAGGCCTGTTGTTGGATTTTCAAAGGGATTATGCCTTTTTTTTGAGGAGATAATATTCGTTTGAGTGAAAAGAATTTTTTTTCTGGTTGACAGTTGAGGATATTTACATTTCTGAAACGCTCATTTTGCCCCAGGGGATTATAGTGCTCGATGAGAGATTCTATAGCACATCCTATAGCCGCAGCCTGATTTTCTATAGACTCTATTGTTGTAGTACATTTCCAAGTATTTCTGAAACCTCCATTTTGCCCCGGGGATTATAGTGCTCGATGAGGGATTCTATAGAACATCCTATAGCCGCAGCCTGATTTTCTATAGACTCTATTGTTGTAGTACATTTCCAAGTATTTCTGAAACCTCCATTTTGCCCCGGGGATTATAGTGCTCGATGAGGGATTCTATAGAACATCCTATAGCCGCAGCCTGATTTTCTATAGACTCTATTGTTGTAGTACATTTCCAAGTATTTCTGAAACCTCCATTTTGCCCCGGGGATTATAGTGCTCGATGAGGGATTCTATAGAACATCCTATAGCCGCAGCCTGATTTTCTATAGACTCTATTGTTGTAGTACATTTCCAAGTATTTCTGAAACCTCCATTTTGCCCCGGGGATTATAGTGCTCGATGAGGGATTCTATAGAACATCCTATAGCCGCAGCCTGATTTTCTATAGACTCTATTGTTGTAGTACATTTCCAAGTATTTCTGAAACCTCCATTTTGCCCCGGGGATTATAGTGCTCGATGAGGGATTCTATAGAACATCCTATAGCCGCAGCCTGATTTTCTATAGACTCTATTGTTGTAGTACATTTCCAAGTATTTCTGAAACGCCCATTTTGCCCCGGGGATTGTGGTGCTTGCTGAGGGATTTTTATAGAACATCCTATAGCCGCAGCCTGATTTTCTATAGACTCTATCGTTGTAGTACATTTCCAAGTATTTCTGAAACGCCCGGTTTACCCCGGGGGGTTATAGCGCTTGATGAGGGATTCTATAGAACATCCTATAGCCGCAGCCTGATTTTCTATAGACTCTATCGTTGTAGTACATTTCCAAGTATTTTTGAAACGCCCGGTTTACCCCGGGGGGTTATAGCGCTTGATGAGGGATTCTATAGAACATCCTATAGCCGCAGCCTGATTTTCTATAGACTCTATCGTTGTAGTACATTTCCAAGTATTTTTGAAACGCCCGGTTTACCCCGGGGGGTTACAGCGCTTGATGAGGGATTCTATAGAACAATCCTATAGCTGATTTCTGATTTTCTATACGCACTATAGGATTACATTGCTGATTTCTTGGATTACAAATAATTCTCTCGCTATCTGTCTATAGAACAGTTCTATAGACCCCACCTCAATCGATTTCAGGATATTTTCACAACTCATTTTAAAGAACAAACTCTGAGACAACTTTGAGACGTCTATAGAATTTTCCTGGAAACAATATTTTATAGGCACGTAGTACTGTGAGAAAATCTTTTTCCGACTGATCTATTGAATTGTCTTTCCAATTTCCTTGCGGCATTTTCTACGTAACCTCCTGTAGATTATAGAAATATTCTATAAATTCTATAGTTCTTATTTTATCGAATTTTACTTTCTATTTTATTCTTCATTTTTAAATAAAAAATTTTTACCACGTAGGCGGATATTTCCAACCAAATTCTATAGCTTATAGAACTTCTATAGACTTCAGATTAAATATAATAATTCTATAAAAAAAATTTAAGTGAATTCCTTGTAGACTCTCTCGCCCTCTCTTTATTGTGAATTTTATTCTATTGATATCTCCGTGAGTTATGATTTTAAAAAACTCGTTATATTTCCCAGCTGAGATTTATCTGGCTATCGAATGGGCTCACTTTTAAACCCATATCTCAGCCTCGACGATTCTAAAAATTCTGAGGGAAAGAACGTCGAGGACAATTTCGATACATAACATCCTCCATGAAATAAAGAATAACAATAGGAATTGAAGGATGTAAATAGTCAGAATGGGGTCACTTCCACCCCCACACGCCCCTTCTCGTTCATTCCAACCATTCCAAAACTGATATTCCGCATCAACTTTCAATTCACCCAAGACGAATGCAAAAATATCTCAACAATTTGTCCGCACTCTACCTCTACCCCTAGAATTTCCTTGACCGTCTCCTCAAATTTTCCCCCGAAAATTCCAGTAAAACGATACCGAGAATAGACCAATGTCTTCAAGTGGGTGGGAAATCGATCAGTCTCGAAGATGAAAACCCTTTCGAGTCTTTCGTTCCTCTCTGTTTGTCCATCGTAGTACGTCAAGGGGAAATGATACTTCCCTCGAGGTCCTCTCACTGCCTAAAAGCTTTTCAAGAGTCATCCCTTCATCCACACAAAGTACATAAATAAAACAAAACCCGAAATCAAAGAGAGAAACCGCAATGGAAGATATTGCATTCAAATCTTTCCCACAAAGCGAGTGGAGACAAAAAGATCAACCTGATAAAAAAAAATAGGATCAAAATCATGGGTGAAATTCATCCCAAAGACATTTTTTCTCTTTTACGCCTGACCGCAGGCGGACTGTATCTCCTTAATTTATTCACATTCAAGATTGAATGAATTGAGAAACGATTTTTTTCTCTGCAAAAAAATTAACGAAAAATAAAACATGTATTTTTTTTCCCGATTGGACATGTTCGTAATGGTCTATAGAGAAATCGTATAGCAACGGTCCAATGGTCTATAGAATCTTTTGTAACAGAACTACCGCACGATTCCTCCCTCAAATCTATTGCAGGATTTTCCGCGTCACATTGTTTAAAGTCATCTATAGAATCTGTCGAGAATGTGTTTGGCTATAGCATCTATAGATTCTATAGCCAACTATTCTTGGAACTATTCTTCAGAATTGACCTTTACATATCGGCCACTTCAGCGGACTAGCTACACTGACCATTTTCTGTAACCTCTGACCACATTCTATAGCCTATAGAAGTGAAATAAGACGAAAAATCGCAAAATAATGCCTTTCATTTTGCTTCAACAAAAATAACAATTTTTTGCTTTCCAAAAAAATCATAATTAATGAAAAATGTAATTCTTGCACCCCACTGAACATGTTCGTAATGTTCTATAGAAAAATTCTAAAACAATTGCCTCATTTTTCCAGGACCTTTTTTTATATTATCTATAAAATTTGTCTGGCCAGTATATTCTATAGCTACTATATTCTATAGATTCTATAGCCAACGTAGCTATTCTTCAGAATTACCGGGGCACATCAACAGAGGAATGCTATAGCAATGGACTAATTTTCTATAGATTTTTTTTGTTACATTGTCTATAGAATTTGTATCAAATCATCCACCGAATTTGTTTGGAAATGATAATCTATATTACAATATTCTATAGATTCTATAGCCAATAAAACTATTCTATAGCCAATGAAACACCCACGCTCGCCATTTTCTATAGAATTCGCCTAGAGAATGACCTCTCGAATCGCAAAATAATAAAATATTCTCCATGAAACAATTTGCCTCTTTCCGGAAAAAATCATGACCAAAAAAAAAATACGATTGTTTCACTCTGATTGGCCACGCGAGCCCTTTGCGAAAAAAAATTTTAAACCCCTAAATAAAATGTATGAATGCATGCGTTCACCCTTGAGTACTTGCCAACGTCACCGAGAGGTGGGGAAAACGACACGTTTTTTGCTAGTGCAACAGAGGCACTGGGTAAAAGTAAAATGAGTCTGAAAAAGAGAAATCAAATGGCCACAAAGAACAGGACATTTAATTAAAAACCGTGGAGGCAGGCCGCAGTTTGCTAAGAGGAAAGAACAGAACAGCCAGAAGTGGAGGGTAAAATAAAAGTAAAAATTCAGTGTTTTATCTGTGGAGGCTGTTACTCTCGTGTGTTTTGCAACAATAAGTCTTGCTAAACGGTGGAAAAAGTAGATGAATAAATAAATAAAGGGGTTAAATGACGGGTTAGAATGCATACGGAAAATATGTACATTCCGGAAAAATACATTAGAGAAAAATAATTGTTCATTTTTCTTTCGAGTGTTATTCCAGATGACAAATTGATCTGCATTTTCAGAAAATAAACGGTGAATGCATGATGGATAAAACAATTTTGTTTCATTTTTTTTATTTATAATTTATAAATTCATAATTTATATTTGTGCATTTTTTTTCAACAATATGATGAGGGATCACTTCACAGCACGGGTTTTCCCGACGAAATTTGTAATTTCAGGTTCACAGGGCGTGGGTTTGTCCCACGAAGGGAGAGGGAAGGGGCTGGGAATTTTTTTTTCAGCGCGCAAGGACGGGACGACCACAGAGACCATCGGGCCACAGGATGAAGCGCTAGAGCACCAAGTGATTGGATCTGCGGCTTTAACAACAGCTCATGCATTTTTATTGAATTTTAAATATTCAAAATCTCTTGATTCACTGACATTATGGATTTTACTCATCGGTTGTGCTTTAAACAATTAGTTCTTCATATGTGTTGTTGAATAATTGAACAAAAAAAAATTGAATGACGAAATAGATGAAATAAAATGAATAAATAAAGGAAGTAACGCAAGTGGAATGAAAAATTGAGGGAAAAAAATAAATGGGAATGAAAAATGAATTGTTTACAATTTGTAACGGATATAAATCCCCAAGAATTCGGTGTCAAAGTCAATCCCACTCGATCGATCATGTGTCGTCTGTCAAATATTTTCCATCACTTCCACCACCTGCTGTCAACTTCAGCCACCCACTCTTACATGTCACCCCCATCACTCGAAATTGACGTGTCCTCTACATAAATAAAACAATCGCCGCCACGATGAATGATTGAGTGTATGAAACCGTAAATATTTCAACAAAAAAATCGGAATAATAAAAAAAAGTAATGCAGGTGTAATAGGGAGGAATGACAAAAATTCTGTGAATACCGAAAAAAAAAATTGAAAAATCGAGGAGGTCCAATTCAGGGGTTATGGACGTGGTCAGACAGAAGTATCACTCGGATTATTTCCACAGAGTCGTGAGTGAAAAATTTATTGATTGAATTTTCATAATTTGAGAGTGAAAAAAATTATTAAAAAATTCATTTATTTATTATTTGAATTATTTGAAATTATTATGAGTATTATTTATATTATTATTATTACTATTATTATTCGTTTTTCTTGTATTTTTTCGCCAACAATTCACAAATTTTAGTATTTGTTGAAAAATTACAAACAAAAAAATTACCGAAACATTATTACACAATCTAGATAATTTTTTTTTTCAATAATCTGCGAATTTGTTTTTCCAAATTTTTCTTTGATTCTGGAAAAAAATTCCCAGATTATGGGAAAAAAAATTATCTAAATTGTGCACTAATTTTTCGTTAATTTTCCTCTTTATGCAGTGACTCATGATTTATTGTTTTTGTGGCAGATATGGAGGTTCATAATTGCGGACGGTGAATTAAGGTCGATTCTGCAAGTGGGACGACAGTGCGGTTTCGTTACATTTTTCATGGGCGTTTTGATCCTCATCACGTTGGCTTGTTCAGTGATGGTAAATTATGGACTCGTCTGGGTGTACCTGTCATTCAAAATGTTTGATCAAGAATATTCGAGAGCGACTGGCCGTGAGAGGGAATCGATTCCCGGAAATTTACATCTTGGGTTTTTTTCTCAGAGGCGAAGGGAGGAAATTTTAATTTTTTTCAATTGAATTTTACTTCATAGAGACAGTTCAATGCAATAGAATTGAAATCTGACCCATGTGACCCTTAATTTGGCGTCTTAATTTTGCGTACCCAATTTTCATCGCCAGAAGTCAATTTAGATTTTTATAATATAAAAAGAAACTGAAAAATGCAATATCGAATCTGACAGGAAAAAGGACATAATAAAGGGCATCATCGTTAGTCCAACAGAAAAAATCTTTTCCTTGACAGAGAAAAAAAGAATATCAATTCATTGACAATTCATTCAATTCATTAATTTATTCTTTTTCTACTCATCAGTTTTCGTTCATCATAATTATCTCTCTAATTACGAGAACAAATTAAAAATCACATTTGGCAAAATCCCTCAATTTTCCAGAGCACAAAGATCGCCAAGTCGAATGAAATGCTGTGTCGTTCGCTCCAGAATCAAGTAAACGAGGTAAATAACTCCATTTTTTTATCCCATTCTTTTTCCCTCCCTGAATAAACATGCACACAGGCCATTTGGGATCGTTGCAGAAATTGCCGAGGAAGCGTAGTATTTTGAGGGTGAAGCCAGCATACAATTGCATTCATGAACACGTAAGTCCACGTCTTACGGCCCAACTCAATTGTCCTCCACGCCCTTTCTTCATTCCTCTCCCTCTCTCGCACCCCTCCCCCCTCCTTTCACGGTGGATGAAGTATGCCGGGGTGAGACAACAGTCTTTCAAGAACGGAGGGAGAGAAATAAAGAAGAAAACAACGTAAAAAGTTTAACCGAGACCCTTAATTTTTCAGCTGCAGAAGACCTTCGTAACTCTGGAGAAAATGAAGCAAACTGTGAGTATTTACCTCATGATCTCCCGGATTTACAATATTTTTTAATGCGTTTTTCTCCCGGTCTCTCAATTTTTTTACGGGGGATTTTGCCTCATTAGGTGCACAAAGAGTCGCTGGAGATCGACGTGATGAAGAGCAAAATATCTTGCATGACGAAACTCATGAATTGAATGAAATTATTGTGGAATTATGGAAATGGCATGTTACGTGAATGGCGGATGAAACTTTATTGGAAATAGAATTGAATAAAAGGGAAAATCATGAGGTCATTATGACTGTCTATGACTTCGAGTCTCGATAATGATGGAAAGCCAGTAAATGGTATTCTTTCGGAATACCATTCACTGTTTTGCATTGTTGGGTGGCTTGAATTTGAATTTCTCGCCTTCAGTCACTCTCTCAAAGCCGATGATTTATCTTCCTTAAGTCAAGAATAACCTGGCTCTATCGCCTTTTTTGCCAACTCCCGCATGGCCCCATGATCCTTATTCTGACCCTTTTGGCCCTTATGACCATTATTTTGACTCCCGGGCCCCTCAATTTCCACCACCAGAAGTCGATTCGGATTTTTATAATCTAGAGAGAGATAATTTGAAATAATTCCACACGTTAATAATCTCGATAATTTGAAATAGTTCGCATGTCCCCAAGAAAAAAACCGCGTGAAATTTCCCCGGAAAATATTAAATCAGACACATTCAAACACGACATCAATTCATCTTTATCTAGTGGAACATCCGTAATTTCCTTCAAGTCGACAATTTCTGGACGTAATGAATAATTTACACACCCCTTTTCGTCAAAATAGAATTTAACTATAATCGAATGGAGAGAAAATGTTCTAAAAACGTAAAGAAAAAAAATGAAAAAATGATTCAAAAACGTGGGAAGGGAAGTGTCCAAACGCCCAACCAGTCTTCTCTCCCCAAAAAATGCAAGTACCGGAAAAAAATTGGTTATCCCCTCGAAAAAAAAATCCACCCCAACTGAAAAAAGAAAAGGGTAGAAAAGACAGAACGCGATAATTTCTATCTCAATGGAAAACACCATTTTCCACGAGAGGTCCGTTAACGAGCGCTAATAACCCATAGCCTCCCGCTGTTCACCCCACCCCCGCCCCGCTTTAAACTGAAAAATACAACGAAAAGTTGAAGGGGGGGCGGCGTCAGGGGGAAGGGGGCGAGGGGGAACGAACGCGCCACTTTGAAGCATCGGCTCGTTAGCGCGGGCAATTCTTTTCGAATGGTGCAGGCTGGATGAGATGGGGCTTTTAAAATGCAAACGAATTTTTCGCCCTGGCCGCAGTCATGAAAGGGAGGACAGAAAAAAAAAATTGGAAGAGGAAAAATGGAATAAGAGAAAGGGGAATGGCGCGACTGATCATTGAGTTCCGTTACCACTTCCGGTGGCACTATCTTGATGGGAATTAAGTGGAAGGGTCAAGTGGGGAATTCAGGGGATGGAGTTGGTGGTGATGAAATTGGGAGTTGGCGGACAAAATTGCTCATTTGATTTTTCTTATTTTATTGCGGTAATTTCGGTGCTCGTGCTAATGTCGATCTTTAGTGGACATTGTTTTTTGTCACTTCTCACATTTCTTTTGGGTCTTTCAGGAGGGGGAAGCAAGGGCAATTATTACATTTTGATATTCCCTAGCAGTTTACAATTTTTAAAGAATTTTAAGAATGCAAGAGATTACCAGCGATTGCGATTTTTCTTATTTTTCCACATCAACCAAAGAAAACTAAAAACTCTTCCAAAACCCTAGCCCC